TCAGTAGTAGTAATCTTCCATTAAACAAACCTTAGTGGATCACTTTCTATGTATGAATACCTATTCAGTGTAAATGTTAAGATATGTAAGACATTGACCATGATCATAATGAACTTGTAATTGGTTTTGTGTTTATGTGTGTGTGGTAAGGGAGAACAGAGTGGTGTGAGGAGATAGAAAAAGTGAGAGAGAAACAATACAAAATTAACATGAAGAGTCATTTAGCAATGAGTGTAAATAGTGTCTTGAGTTCAAGTTAAGATAAATTTACTAATGGCTATTATAACAAAAAGATTAATAACACTATCTATTCCAGGCATTGTCCTAAGCACTTTATAGGGATTCACTCATTTATTCTTTATAGTATACCCAAAGGGAGTTACTATTATCCCCATTTTACAGATGAAGAAACTGAGTCACAGAGATCTTAAGGAAAACATTCAAAGAAATGCATATAAAGTAGGCATCAGTAAAACTGAGACTTGAAGCATGGACTGTCTTTAGGCTGAGAAGTAGCTGGAGATGAGAGAATAATTTAGGTAAGGAGAAATGCTGTGCACCAGGACTTAAGCAGAAAAGTGTAAGGCATATCTGAAGGAGCTTTAGTGGCATGGTGTGTAGGGATTTATGCTCTTAACCCAAAAGTCCACAACTCTCTGGTGGTTGGAACCTAGCGCTAAACTCGAAGCTAAGAGGGAGAATTACGGGCAGTCTTCTCCCATGTGATTTACAGCCTTAAAAAACCAGTGGTAAATCAGCTGTTGCTGTCAGTTTCTGACTTGACAGCAAATGAGAGAATGAGAGTGTGAGAAAGGGTTGGTTTGGATAAATGGTAAAAGCAAAAATGAGGCAGTTCTGGATGCATAAGGGCTGTAGGCCGTAGGAGTTTGGACTTGATAGAGGAAGTAAATGAGAACCATCAGAGATACTTGACAAGATAAGGTCACAATTGTGTTTTAAGAAAATTGATCTAGCAGCTGTGGCCCAGAGAGACTTGAGGGAGGGGGAGAGAGGCCATGAGTGGAGCCAGTTAGAAACTGTTGTAGTAGCCCAGATGTGACAATAAAGACCTGAATTGGGATTGAGAAGTAGAAATGGATACAGTTAGATGTGAAGGGACTTGTGAAAAGAACTAACTGAGTTGAGGACTGATTGGATAAAGGGTATAGAAAAGAGGAGTATTGGGATATATTGTTCTTTGTAAAAAACGTTTCCTAATTAAAAGGGGCAAGTTAAGAATATCTTGTTTTCTTTTTTCATTTTGTTATTTATTTTCTTAAT